GGGGGGGAGTGGAGACGAAAGCAGACGACAGAATATGGTTCTTCTTATTCTTCTATCCCGTGGTTGGGGCAACCTGTATCTGAAAACCAGCTCTCGCCATCTATTTTTGTCCTCTGCTTTCCTCAGATTGTCACCCATCGTCTTTCCTGTCCACTCTGTAAGGTTGTCCTCCCATCTCATTCTCTGCCTTTCTCTCTTTCTCTTTCCTTGTATGGTTCCTTGCAGGGTTGTTTAGGCAAGTCTTGTGGATCTTGTGACATGCCCATACCATTTTAATTTTCGTCTCTTTACTATGGTCAGTAGATCGTCATGCTGCCCCACAACGTTTGTGATTCTCTTTCGTACCTGAGCATTTAACGTGGTCTTTGTACGAAATGTCAAGGAACATGGTTAGAGAGCGGGAAAGGAACTTTATTCCTCTTTTCCCCTAGTGGCTGTGTGTGCCCTTCGCCATGACTCATGACGCCACAGTCCCCATCACGACCGACTCGTCAGAGGCTTGGCTGGGGCAGCTGACGGTACCAGAGATAGGGAGCTACGTGGACATCGGTCTGTTGTTGATCTTAGGAGGCATCCCTGTGCAGGTGAGGGTGAGAGGGTCCGTGTGATGGATAAAGGGAGTTTGTTTTTTTGCTCAATTTACCTCTGTTTCGTGTAATTTTTTTGGAGAGAGGATTGTTTGCTTGTTTTTTGTATGACTGTTTCCAGTGAATATTGCCCTGTTGTTAATCTTCGGAGGCATCCCTGTGCCGGTGAGGGTGAGAGGGTCGTGTGCTGATAAGGGGGGGGGGGGCTTGTTTGTTCAATTTACCTCTGTTTCGTGTAATTATTTCATGGATATTGGAGAGAGGATTGTTTGCTTGTTTTTTGTGCGACTGTTTCCAGTGAATATTGCCCTGTTGTTGATCTTAGGAGGCATCTTTGTGCAGGTGGGAGGGAAAGGTCTCCGTATGATGGAGAGATTTTTGTTTTACGGCGCTCGCAAGTGCATAAGGTCATATATGAGCGAGCCGGTTAAACATCTTTAGCTTGGTAGGAATTTCGAATTTCGCCTAGTGGCAGCCGAAGCCTACTCTTATCGATTTTAGGACCACCAAAGGATCTTTAACGTGGTTGTTTGTTTATTGTTTCAAATGAACATTGGCCTGTTGTTAATCTTAGACGGTATACCGGTGCTTGTGAGAGTGAGAGGTTTCTATATGATGGAGGGTTGCTTGTTAGTTATGTTACGTCTGTTTCGTGAAATTAAAGTGAGTCAATTTAACACCGACCCGAAGTCACATATTAGGAAAAATCTGAGCCTATGCCATAAAGGGAACAAGAAAGGGATGTCTCTCTTCCATTACTCAGACTAAGTCGATTGAAAAGTTGATTCATTTATTTTTCATGGATATTGCCCTGTTGCTGATATCAGGAGGCATGCCCGTGCAGTTGAGGGAGAAAGTTTTCGTTCAGGGAAATTTCCTTTTTCCAAGAACACCACAGCTTTGAAAGGCACCAAACGTTGGCGGCCATTTTGTCGCTGACTTTACCTTTGACACCGAACGACCCCGACCTTCTTCTATCGTAATTATCTCGACTTCTGGTCAAGATAAATTGGTACTATTTTTTCCAACAAAGCAAGGCATACGAACAAGCTTTATGATACAACTGAGAACTCCATGTGCCCAAACACTGACGAGCGCTTGATTCCGCCATGTCTTGACACCCAAGTTCTAAAAACATATTTTCTCTTCTACAGGTGTACTGGCAAAGGGCGTTGTCGGCAAAGTCTGTGTTTATCGCCGAATGCCTCAGTTTCTTCGGTGCTATAAGCTGCGTCGCCATGTCAGTTCCACCTGTTCTCCTGGGTGCTGTCGCTAAATCCACAAGTTAGTTCTTAAAAAAATAGTTTAGTTTTAATAGAATCTCCCAAAGCCCAACCCCAGCTCTCCGGCTGGCGACAAAGAGACGTCTCTTTCTTCCCGCGACACCCAAAAGGGTGTAAGCGGCGGATGAAAGTAAAAGTAAGTAAGTTTTAATAGAAGTTTCACAGAACTCGCAATACAGTAAGAATCGAAGATTAGAGGTGTTGCAAGAGAGAAACAATAAATACAAAAAAGGAAGAGGAGATACCTGGACAGCAAACTCTGGTGGCTCTCACGCTTTGGTTCCCACCGGGCACGCAACTAACATGCAGATAACTTGGGACAAAGATAGTACATAACAAGATGGTCCACTCAGCCAAAAAAGTGTTCGCCGGAAGTCCGCTCTTTGCTTCAGGTGGCGCTGCAGTCTGTTTTGAAGCTCTCTTTCGTTTTTCCAGAAGAAGAATAGGAATAGCACCTCCTTGCGTGCGCAGATGGACTGGTGTTCATGAGCAGTTCGGGTTCGTTCAGTACGGAGTTTTAGGTTTTAAAAATTTTAATGACCTCTCGCCTTTCATACTAAAGTCAAATTAAACGAAGAAAACAATCACCCCTTCCTCCGGAAAAAGTTTTTTGTCAGCGTAACCATTTAAAAAAGCGTTCTTCCGAAATTTATTAAAAACTTGCTAGTTTCACTTTGATTTTTTAAAACACAAGTAGGTTAACTCTGTTTGCAAAGGGTGCACATTTGCGAAGAGGGCGCCAACGAATTTTGAGGACACTTTTTTAATTGGCCCAAAGAGAGGAGTGGCCCCTCTTGTTATGTAGACTCTTTGCAACAGATGTATGCCATTGGCTGATATTTATAGTAACAGCCGTCTTGTTTGACGTCATTGAGGGATTCCCACTTTGTTGTCGTCCACGATGGCAACACGACCACAAAGCACTATTGCAGTATTTTAAAATCCTGTAGCTTACAGTGGCGTGGTAGCGGAGTGGTTAGTGCGCTTGTCTCCGAAGTAGAGAGTCCAGGTTCGAGCCTCGGTTCGGCAACGGATTTTTTTTCGCCCCCTCCTGCCCACCCACCTGTAATGGGTACCTGATTTCGAGTTGGGGGAAGTAAAGGACTAATTTAAAAAAAGAAAAAACATTCTTTAAAAATGTATAAGATAACTGTAAAAGCATGTGATGTGACTTTGAAGGATTTAAAAAACATACAAAAAATTATCTTACATATTTTTAACAAAATAAAAAAAATTAGTCCTTTACTTCCCCTACTCGAAGTCAGGTACCCATTACTTGTGGCTCCCCGCAGCTGTTAGAATGCAACAGCAGCCATACCACGGGCAACTGCTTCGACAGGCAGGCTAGACCTCGTAGACCCTCGGTGACTTTGCTTAAGGGTTTGCCTACCCTAGCATGCGAAGACTGGTGTCACAGGGAAGAAGCGGATGAGATCAACAGAAGACTCACCGGTTTTGAAGGCAGTACCAGCAAGTGCTGTGGGGCGCAGAAGGGCATAGACTAGGCACCAAAGTTCTGGCCATCCACTGAAGCCTGGCAGCTCCAAACGTAACGGTCTCCATGCCACTGGGTAAAGACTTCCTAGGCCGAGAGAGTGGGACTGCCGCCGTGCAACGACAGCTCCACTTTAAACAAAGTCACGCACAGTTTCATTCTCGAGCTCATCACCATCTTCATCATCTACTCTATAAAAAGCTGCAGGATTTCATCGTCATCTTCGGTAACAAAAGACTGTACCCAGAACTTTGATAGGAAAGGCGGAGCAAACCACACCAGAGCACCCTCCAACCACCCACTTCCTTCTCTCTCTCTCTCTCTCTCTCTCTCTCTCTCTCTCTCTCTCTCTCTCTCTCTCTCTCTCTCTCTCTCTCTCTCTCTCCCCTCTCTTTCTTCTTCTTCTTCTTTTTCTTCTTCTTCTTCTTCTTCTTCTTCTTCTTCTTCTTCTTCTTCTTCTTCTTCTTCTTCTTCTTCTTCTTCTTCTTCTTCTTCTTCCCCGTCATCATCATCATCATCATCATCATCATCATCATCATCATCATCATCATCATCATCATCATCATCATCATCATCATCATCATCATCATCATCATTACATGAGCCTATCCTTCCTTCCCAACAGACTGGTCTGCAACAGAATATGGCCTCCCAGAAATCTCCAACGATGATCGGTCCCTGACTCTTCCCCTGGTGATGCGTTACTTGTGTCCACCTGTGGTCACTTTCGTTGGCCTGGGAGCTGTGTCCGCGGCCGTCATGTCGTCAACGGACTCTTCCATATTGTCTTCCAGCTCCATGTTTGCGCGGAATGTGTTCGCCGTCGTCTACAAACGCATTACTAAAGAAGAGGTGTGGATCAGATTAGATTACGTGAAATGAGATTATATAAGATGAGATGAGATGAGATGAGATAACGTACTAATTGATATGCAAATACTTCTACATACACACTCACTCACTCATTCACAAACACACACACACACAAACACACACACACACACACACACACACACACACACACACACACACTCACACACGCACAAACCCCCACACACAAACACACAAATGCGCATAAAACATGCATCTACACGTACTCTCTCACACATCCTTCCTTCCTCACACACGCACACTACTACTACTACGACGACGACGACAACGACAAGGACGACGACGACAGTGAAGAAGAAGAAAAAGAAGAAGAAGAAGAAGAAGAAGAAGAAGAAGAAGAAGAAGAAGAAGAAGAAGAAGAAGAAGAAGAAGAAGAAGAAGAAGAAGAAGAAGAAGAAGAAGAAGAAGAAGAAGAAGAAAGAAAGGGGAGAGAGAGAGAGAGAGAGAGAGAGAGAGGGGGGGGGGAGGCAGAGATAAAGAAGGAGGAGTAAAAGAAGAAGAAAAAAGCGGTTCATATTGACTGGGGGCGGGGGAGCAGTAGCAGGAGGACGAGGAGACACACTCCTACAAACACATGCGCAATGTGTATACATGTACACACACAGACCCATAAACTCATACACACACACTCTCTCTTTCATATACAAACTCACATACACCTCTTTCTCTCTCTCTTTCTCTCTCTCTCTGTGTCTCTCTCTCTGTCTGTAACACACACACGCACACACACACACACACACACACACACACAAACACACACACAAACACACAAACACACATGTATACCCTCTCTCTCTCTCTCTCTTTCTCTCTCTCTCTCTCTCTCTCTCTCTCTCTCTCTCTCTTTCCATTTCATTCACACACACACACACTCTCACACACACACACACACAAACACACACACACACACACACACACACACACACACACACTCACTCACATACACACACACACACATTCTGTCGTATTGTTTTTCAACTCTTATAGAATTCATATTATGACAGTTTTGATACAAGCGTGCTTGTATTCAACTCAAATTAGTGTTACTTCCTCCAACTTTTATTCCTGCACAGAAGGGCGCCACTGATCATTCAACTTTCTTCGTTTCCTTTCTTCTCTCGCTCCTGTCTTCTATCTTGAGGGTGGTTGGGGGGGGGGGAGGGGGGTGGGGGTGATAAAGGCAAGTCTGAATCAATTTGTTACTTTGTCACTATTGTTTCAGTCCGTCTTTTCTGATTATCCTCAGAAGTAGATGGACATCATTATGCTGACACTTCATCCACTATAAACAAAACAAAAAAAATTCCTTTTTGCTCTTTTGACTTCACAATGTAACAAGCATTGTTCCAAGTTACAGTCATACCCGCTCATATGACCTTATGTGGTTGCGAGCGCCGTAAAACCCCACACTAAGCTAAAACTAAAACCCGCTCTAAAGATCACCTTTCCAAGACAATCGCCTGAACAATCTATATGCTTACACTCTCTTTTTCTCTATATTGTAATGACACTGTCCTTGAAGACCACCTGTCCAAGACGACCAACCTTTCTCTGCAACAACGAGGGTTTTCTTTGACAAATCTTACTTAAGAACTTTATATGCTTTGTTCCCTTTACAGTGTTTTCCATTTTAAATAGATTGCAAATTGCGTAATGAGAAACTCAGTAATCCGAGAAATGTTGTCACAAACAATGTCATGCAACACATCCAACTCCAAAGATTCAAATGGTTCGGACATCTCCTACGATTACCAACACGCCATCCAGGACAGCGTGCAAACATTTAAAAAAATCAATGGCAGCAAGGCTTGAGGGCGACCGAGAAAGACCGGGACAGATGGAGTCAGGGAAACAATAACCACCTACATCTCTTTCTTCCCGCAACACCCAAAAGGGTATATTATGCGGCGGATAAAAGTAAAGTAAAGTAAAAGCAAATTGCGTAGTGCTTGGTGTTGAGCGAGGATAGGTAATATAATACTATTGAAATATTTTTTAAAATTTATTCATTTATCTATTTATTTATTTATTCGTTTATTTATTGTAAACTTACTTGTAAACCTTAAACAGATAGGCGAGAGAGAAAGATCAGGATAATAATAATATAGTTCTTTTTTTTGGACAACATCTGAACGAGGGAATGAATTATTGAATGGGAAACCATGATCGTCGATGTGTGTCGCAGGTCTGGCACTCGATGATGATGATGATAATGATGATGAAGACAATGGTAATGATGATGATGATGATGAGGAGGAGGAGGAGGAAGAGGAGGAGGAGGAGAAAAACAGGAGAAAGAGGAGGAGAGGAGGAGGAGGAGGAGGAGGAGGAGGAGGAGGAGGAGAAACAGGAGGAGGAGGAGGAGGGGAGGAAGAGGATGGTTGTGGTGGTGGTGGCGGTGGTGATAATAATGATAAAAGAATGAATTACAATAATATCGGTGATGGTGATAATGAAGTTAATCATGACGACAACGACAGACGACGACGACAACGACAACGACAACAACAATGATGATGTATCATCATCATCATCATCATCATCATCATCATCATCATCATCTACTCCTCACACTTCCCTTTTTCTCCCCCCCCCCCCCTCGGCCAGCTGTCAGAAGCTGTGCAGGTGTGGGTGATGCGCGTGGCGCAGGTCGTAGTGGCCTCCCTGGCGTGTGTCATGGCCATCACCGTGTCTTCCGTCTACGACCTCTTCATTCTCTGCTCCGACTTCCTCTACGTGTGTCTGTTCCCACAACTGTTGTGCGTCATGTACCTCAAGGGAACCAACGCATACGGCTCCTTCTCGGCCTTCGTGCTGGGCCTCTTCTTCCGGTTCATGGGAGGGGAGAGCCTCTTCTTCCGGTTCATGGGAGGGGAGAGCACTCTGGGAATCCCGGCCGTTATAAAGTTTCCCTGGTATGTTCGAGTTGTGCCTCATATCGATAATCAGTATTATTATCATTATTGTTGTTGTTGTTACCATTATTGTTATTGTTATTATATCATCATCATCATTATTTTCATCATCATTTTTATCATCATCGTCATGGTCATCATTACTATTATTATTATTATCATTATTATTATTATTATTATTATTATTACTACATGTATTACAAATGATTTTGAAGACCTCTACCTGTTTGAATAAGGGCAGTTGGCTGGTGCTCTTGTGTAGTTTGCTCCATCTTCCATTTCAAACATCTATCCTCCTTATTTCTTCATCTTCTTTTTTTTGTATGTTACTCTCCTGCATTACCTCTAATATTTGGCACTTGTATAACATTTATTAGTGTTATTTGTATTGCAAGTGTCATAAAACTCCTATTCTCTAATTCAAACTAAACATAACCATGATATCTAACGCTTATCCATACCTCTAATATCTGGCAGTTATCATACAGCCCGATATCTTGTCAATGTGATTTCTGTTGTTCTGGGGGCACGAAATTATGTATGTTAGACAACAAATTTGTAAGCTCTGCTTTAGTTGCAAAGTTTGTTTTTTTAAGCATTTTTTAATTTGTGTTGTAATAAACGCCTTACCTCTTATTTTACAATCACTTCGTTCTTTACAGGTACGATGAAGTCTACGGCTTACAAATATTATTTATGTTGCAAGTGCCATAAAACTCTTATTATCAAAAAACTAAAAACAATTAGGACAGGATAAACAGATCAAGCGCTTATCCTATCTCTTAATTTGTAATCTCTTCTCTCTCTGCAGGTACGATGAAGTCTACGGCTCACAAATGTTTCCTTTCCGGACTTTGTCCATGTTGATTTCTCTGTTCACGCTCATTTTGGTATCCTACCTCACCGAGTTCTTGTTCACGAGCGAGTGCCTTCCCCTGGATATGGACTTTTATGGCTGCTTTCAGGTATCTATACATATTATATTGTGAAAGTTCGTCACTTTTGCTGCCTAAAACTCCCAAACCTCCGAAATTTCGCATTTGACAAAATTAATAGTGGTTCAGAATTATTTAAAGGGTGTACAGTTTTATTGAGAAGCCTGAAGTCACTGCAGTTTAATTTTCTGTTTTTAATTACTTTCGTTTAGATCTAATCTTGGAAAAGTCCGTCTTCTAAGACGCCATTGTAAACAAGTGAGGTTTCCGTTCACTGGCCGTGCGCAGTGTTTTCACAATGACGTGATGATCGACGATTATTTTAAGTATGTTCATCAAACGTGTACCCAGTTAGTAAACCATAATACTCGTAGTATTAATAGAGGCGTGAACTATCTTCTGGCCTGCAACATCTTTTTGGGGGCCGTTATTCGGTTAGTTAGTTTACTATAATTTGAGCTGTCGCGGCGATCGGGGTATAATTGTTTCACAGTGGTTTCTGCCTTTTTTCTAATTGTATTGACTTTCTCCCCTCTTTCATTTTGGAAAAAGGGGGTAGGGGAACGGGTCTGCTTTTTCTCTGCACTAAATTCGATTATTACCGATATTACGTCGATGTGCTTCTCCTTAGTCAAATAAATAAATACATAAAAGTAAATAAACTAACTAAATAAATAAATAAGTAGATAAATAGTTGAATAAATAAATAAATAAATAAATAAATAAATAAATAAATGAGTGAGTGAATGAATGAATGAATGAATGAATGAATGAATGAATGAATAAATAAATAAATACACGAATAAATAAATAAATAAATAAAGACACGCTTTTATTTCTTGTATCACAGCATCTGAGAGAGCAGCCCGGGGATAAAAGGAGAGCTCTAAGCTCGACCAACCCCAAGGACTCAGGCATGGAGCGACACGATCCGTCGGTTCAAAACAGAGGTCATCTGAACGACACAAGTTCCAGACAACCCGACATCGAAATGTCCCGATATCGAAAAACACAAATACAGTAGAAAGTTGGGTGATCTAAGCTTAATAAGGCTGGATTTTATTTCAGTTTTTATACTGTTTAACTATAATATTTCACTTGATAGCCTTGTAGAACCATGGGGGCTTGGATTTTTTTCTTTTTTTTTAATGAGGCAGAACCTTTTTAAAGTTTTAATACAACAGTTGTTTGAAACATTTTCCATTTGATATTTTACCATTGTCAGGTAATAATAATAATAGTAGTAATAATAATAATAATAATAATAATAATAATAATAATATAATAATAATAATAATAATAATAATAATAATAATGATAATAATAATAATAATATAATAATAATAATAATAATAATATAATAATAATAATAATAATAATAATAATATAATAATAATATAATAATAATAATAATATATAAAAAAAAAATAATATAATAATAATAATAATATAATAATAATAATAATAATAATAATAATAATAATAATAAATCGTCGTCATCATGTAATAATAAAAACTGCATTTATATTACCCTTTTTTATATGGACGAGATGCTCAGTAAGTTTTACAATCGCGAATAATGATAATTTAATTTGAAAAAACAAACCCCCTAGCCTACAAGTTTTAGTTTTGTACAATGTTCTTTTTTGTATTTTGCAAGTGCGTTTCAATAACTTTTGTACATCTTGACCTTGTCAAAATTTCCTTTGAGAAAATTGTTCCACTATCAAGTCTTCTTAAATTAAAAAAATAATTCCATTCAGATTTACATGATTTTAAAAAAAAATGAGTACCGTATACTTCTTAAACGTTTTGGATTTTTAATTGGTATAAAGAATACAGAATCAGCTCCAAAATATAACTTTTTAAAGCTTTATTAAAAGTTTTACAGCCCTTGCAACACAATTAGGTCCGAGAAGTGCCGATTTGTTCACCTAAGTTGACATAAGAGGTGAGGTTCTAAAAGAATGGCAATACCTGCATACGAATCGAATGAACGACCAAATACACTCCGATTCTTGTGCTTTGTGTGTCATTCTATCTTCATCCCTCCTCCTTTCTCTGTCTCAGGCTATGCCTCTCTCTCTCAGTCTATGCCTCTCTCTCTCTCTCTCTCTCTCTCTCACTCTCTCACTCTCTCACTCTCTCTATCTATCTCTCTATCTCTCTATCTCTCTCTCTATCTATCTATCTATCTATCTATCTATCTATCTATCTATCTACCTATCTCGTATCTACCTATCTACAAGTGTTTATCTATGTGCCTATCTATTTACTGTTGTCTGTCTGTCTGTCTGTCTGTCTGTCTGTCTGTCTGTCCGTCTGTCTGTCTGTCTGTCTGTCTGTCTGTCTGTCCAACTTCTGAAAGTTCGAATGAAGACAGCAGTGGTAGCTAAATACTTTTAAAAAAATGATCAGAACTTTTAGTCATAACTCACATTCCATCTCAAAGACCGGTGAAATGTTCCTGCTTTTTAAAAAGTTAATACGTTACTTGTTGATACATTTTATGACAACATGCATAATGTCGGATCATGAAAAGTCAAAAAGACGTTTCTGACATGAATTATTAATCTAAGTGTATAGACAAAACAACATTAACAATATTCTTTATATTAGAATCTCTCTCATATAATTCGTACAAACGGTTTTATAATTAATACTGTATACTGCAGTTGCTCAATTTTTGTACTCTTTAGTTTTGAAACGTTATTTTGATATTTAAAGTAAAACTCAAACACGAATAAAGATTGCACTGAATTCATATTGTGTAGGTCTCTATGTGTTCATGAGTTTCTGCCCCCTCCACCCCACTCCCCCTTGTCTCTCTGTCTTTCTGTCTCTGTCTCTGTCTCTGTCTCTGTCTCTGTCTCTCTCTCTCTCTCTCTCTCTCTCTCTCTTAATAATAATAATAAATGTAATAATAATAATAAATGCATTTCTATAGCGCATATCCATGCTCAAGAGCATGCTCTATGCGCTTTACAACTTTTATTACCCCAGCAGACCCTCTGAGAACACTCAGAAACATTCTCTGCTTCCGAGGAAGCATACAGTGCAAGCTGCGGATTTCACGCGCTCAAACACTATCAAACTGACAAGATCTTTCACTGTCTATAGCCGGGTACCCATTTCCACCTGGGTGAAGTGAGGAAAATTTGTGCAAAGTGCCTTTCCCAAGGACACAACGTCGGGCCCCGGACGGGATTCGAACCCACGACCTTACTGGTGCGAATCCGAGAGCCTCTTATTCTGTCTTTGTTTCTCCATTTTATGTGTATCCAGTCTTAAACTACAGTAAACATATAAACTTACTTTTAAGATTAATTGGAAGGCTGACTAAAAGGAAGAAACGTAATTTTAAGAAGGAGAAAATGCCAGTCTTAAGTGAGACATCTGTGTCAGTAATGTGTAGTTTGTAACTCAGTTCCGTAAAACACGGAGGTAGAACCAAAATCATTTTAAGAACACGATATCACTGGTATCCCATGGGAATCCCCTAAACATTTTGTTACCTCATACTTATTAAGTTCTACCTGACATTTTTGGCCGTTTTGAATTAGAGCTACTAATGCCACTAGGCCAGTAACCAAAATCACATGTTCCATCTGCTCTATCAAAATCGTAAGAATATTCGGAGTCATTTTCAAGATCCTCAGAGGATGACATTGGAAAACGCTTGACATGCTGTGAAACTGAAACATTTGGACGTCAAATTTCTCATTTCTAGTTTTGGAGCAGATAGAACTTTGTAATTCTGAGGTAGCAAGCGATTTGTTGCATCAGCGATAGCATCGTCAAAGTGGAATAATGTGAGCAAAGAGGCCCGCCACACCTGTGTCAACATAAATAGGGATACCGCGCTCTTACCAGAGATGCCTTCAAGAATATTATTGTGATAGCAGTCAGAACAAGAGGCATTAGTAGAGTGGTACATTTAGTAATTGAAAAGTGGAACTTGACTTAGTATAGAGCATCTTAAGCTTTGTTTTAAAGAAGGGAAATGAAACATAGAATCAAGAAGTGAAATGAAACAAAGAATCAAGAACTGAAATGAAACATGAAAGTGTTATCGTTATGCTACTAGCTGTGAGCGTCGTCAAGAGGTCTTCATGTCTACAACCTTGGTGAAGGACTTCAAGTAGGACAGGGGTGTCTAGTTCAGGATAATTATGTTTGTCGTCGTATCTTTTCAGGCTGGGAAAAACCAGAGTCGTTTACACTAGCTTATCTGTTATAGGAGGCCACAGAATGTGTCAACGGGCAAAATATGAACCAGGAATACACCATGAGTTACGCGGTGAATGTACAGACTATTTAACTACATCAAATGAACTACAAGGTTGGTGGGTGGTTGGCGGGTGCTCTGGTGTGGTCTGCTCCCTTCTTTCCTATCAAACATCTATCGTCTTAATCACTCCTCCTTTTTGTGTTTGCTACTCCATTGTAAAACCTCTAATCTTCGGCAGTTAAATGGCCTTAATGTGTTGCAAGTGCCGTAAAACTCTTACTATTAAAATAAACTACAGGGTAAGGCCGGTCCCAGAGTGGCTCTGTAGGTCTGACCTGCAGCTCGCCAAGCGCACGCCATCTGCGTGTCAGCACAGCCGCACTAGGCTAGAAGCAAGAAGCACACAGGCCTACGAATTTAAACAAACTGTCGAAACTAGGTCAACCTCTCGATTCGAAATTTTAAAGAAGGATAAAGCGCATTTCTTGGGATTTTGTGGTCAAGTGTTGATGCTAGCATCAATATCTAATAGTAAAGCACCTTATAATATTTACTTCTTGCTGATTTTAATGATATGTGAAGAATTTCAGTTGAAAATAAACACGAACGAGGCTGGGTGACAGACATATCAGTCGTGTTTTACAACATTGTGGGATAGCTCGTCTGACGCGTCGTGCAGCTCAGCAAATAAGAGACAGACCACACAGCGCTGCTGCTCAAGCAGACGATAACGAACACGTTCATTTGGGCGGTGCGAGCTAGGCGAGCTACATGCCAGACCTACTGAGCCACTCTGGGACCGGCCTTAGGATTTGATCTGGTGGAAAATTATCTACGTTACGACACCATTTAACTAGAGGTGGAGACTTGATTTTTTTAAAAAGCGAGATAATTAATCTTCTCAGCGAATATCGTATGCGGCATGTTTGGCCGGAGAAACCCGATATTCTAGAAGCAAAGTTAGAAGGAAAGAGAAAAATGGTGAAATGGTATGGGTTTAACGCCCCTATCAACACTATTAGGTTATTTAAGGGGCGGAACCTCCTAGTTTAACATCCGTCTCCGATAGGACCGAGCCAAATGGGATGTTCGAGTAAAGTGCCTTTCCCAAGGACACAACGTCGGACCGAGCTAAGGCTCGAACCCCCGAACCAGCAATCTCACGATTACGAGTCCAGTAGCCTAACCACTAGGCTACCGACGCCATAAGGAAAGAGAGGAAGGGAGAGACCTAATATAAGATAGGAACAAGACATAGAAACCTTGGAACAAATCAGGCAGGCAGAAAGACAAGAGGCAGAATGTTTTATTGCTGGAAGGTCCGAGAAGGAATGTCCAGCTACGGGAAAAACTAAGACGAAGAATAAAGTTCTTAACTCTTCGAGATCGAAGTCGGTCAGCCTACTGACCCATAAGTGTTCATCATTTTGGTTTTACCTTGATTTCCTGGTTTGTCATAAAAACATTATTTTTTAGTATTTGTTTTAGTAAATGTTTTACGGCAATTGCAACACAATTTATATAATGCAAGGTGTCGAAGATTAAAGGTGTTAGAAGAGAGGGACAAAAACACAAAAAGAAGGAGGAGAGAACACGGATGGAAGATGTTGAATAGGAAAGAAGGAGTAAACCACACCAGCCTTCTCTTATCAATTTTAGACCGCCAAGGAATCGTTAACGTGCACAACTAGCACAAGGGTCCTCCGAGATTTTTCGACCTTGTCCGAGAAGGCTTTGGCCGCCATCCAGGCAAAATTCAAAATTCAAAATTCAAAATTTTCTACTAACCAAAA